AATTGTTAAGTGATCACCAGAGTCAAAATCTGTGTCTCTTGGACTGTGCAGGTTTGAAACCTGTCAATGATAAATTTTATTTTCTATAAAAACACACCTGGTTTTCTGAGAAACTCATCTTAAATGATCTTAGCCATGTCATTGCCATGACTCTGGTCTGCGCGCTTTTTGAACTCTACACACTCTGAAGGTCTGTATTTTTCAATCCTAAATCCCTCTGAGTATTAGCTGCTTCTTTTGAACTCATAGTTGCTGCATCAAAATCAGCCAATATTTCTATATCTATTTCTCTTAAACCGAGCAGGCTTAAAACCTGTATAATAACATGGTTTTTCTTTTGCCATTAAAACTTGCCTTGAATGCAAGCTCATGAGTCATTCCATCTCATCATTTTGTGTGGTGGTCAAATGCAGATAAACGTGTCTTGAGGGTTCACTTCTGATTGTGTTCATTGGAAGTGCATCTCACTGGTCTTAGCCAAGCAGTCGATATGACAGAATCTAAATCTGTCTGTGTGGGTTCAAAACCTACCAAAGATTGAATTTCCAAGTGATCGCCAGAGTCAAAATCTGTTTCTCTTTGAACTGTGCAGGTTTGAAACCTGCTGATGATAATATTTTTATCCTATGAAATCACACCTTGACAGTCCCTTGTAAACAGTTTTGTCAAAAACTCATCTTAAATGTTCTCAGCCATGTTATTGCCATAATAGATTCAAAATCTGATTATCCTGGACTAAGCAGGTTCGAAACTCATATAATTGCATTTTTTGTTGTTCATTGAAATATACCTCAAACATTCGCTCATTATAAACAGTCTTGGCCAAGTGGTTGTTACAACAGAATTAAAGTCTGTTTCTCTTGGACTGTGCATGCTTGAAAATATGCTGAGTGATACATGTTTTTGACCTGCTCAGTCCAGGAAAATCAGATTTTGACTTTGATAACTCCCGAACTAGGACTGATTGCCAACCTGTAGGCTTTGATTGAAACATATTTTGAATCTATTGTGGCAATGATATGGAAAAGAGCATTTATGATGGGTTTTGAAGAAAACTATCCATGAGGAAATATCAGGGTTTAATTTCATAGAATAAAAATATCATCATCAGCAGGTTTCAAATCTGCAAAGTTCAAGAGACACATATTTTAACTCTGGCGACAACTTGACTAAGACCAATGAAGATCAATGTCTGAGATACTGTCTATGAGCAAACATTCAAGGCACGTTCTCATAGAAAAAATGTGACATTCAACAGGTTTGAAACCTGTTGCATTTCAATAGAAACAGATTTTGATAAAGACATCAGGCTTCTCCTGGGCCTCTGCTTCAAGACCTGTTTATCCAGCAATTGCTCAAAAAAAGTGCTGATGGCAGACCATCACAGTGGGCCGATGATGTTTGTGATGTCTTGGGATTAACAACCAGATCATGAGTGACAACTGACAATGGCAGAATCGCATATGGTTGGGCTCAAGGGGAATGTTAGAAATTAATGTTAGAACTGACAAAATGCAGGATAAGTGTATCTTGAGGATTCACTTTTGAATGGATTCATTGGGAGCACATCTAACTGGTCTTAGCCAAGCAGTTAATACAACAGAGTCAAAATCTGTCTGTGTAGGTTCAAAACCTGTCAAAGATGAAATTGCAAGTGATCATCAGAGTCAAAATCTGTTTCTCTTGGAATGTGCAGGTTTGAAACCTGCCAATGATAAAATTCATTTCTTTTTAATGCAACCACACCTTGACATATGCTCATCAGAGTTGTGTTTAGCCATGTGGTCGTCCTGACAGAATAGACATCTGTTTCTGTTGGAGTGCAACAGGCTTAAAACCTGTTGAATGTCGCATTTTTTTCATAAGAACATGCCTTGAATATCTGCTCATGGACAGTATCTCAGACATTGATCTTCATTAGCCTTAGTCAAGCCATCACCAGAGTCAAAATCTGTTTCTCTTGGACTTTGCAGGTTAAATCTATACAACACAAAACCTACTGCAACTGCGCCCACTGTCTCAGCTTTATATATTATTGTCCATTTCTATGTCAGACCACATGACAATACAATCAATACTTTACAACATGTTCGGTTGCATTGTAGAGTCTCACATCTCTATATCCTCATAGAGGTCTATTTTCACATCATTCTAAGCACTTCCATAGCTTAGTGTGACTTGTATTTCATGCGGCACACCTGGCGCTTCAGCGCACGCTTACTAGCACAAGCACTTTTGTTGTGCATATGTGTGTGGCGCCTTCAGCTCGATCACTTGTCCTCTTTCTGTCCATTCCATGCATGTTTTGGTTTGTCAGTGCACGGAAGCAAGTTGGAAGTGCAGCAAATAGGTAAAAATATGTAAGTCGCTTCTGAATGGATTCATTGGAAGCGCATCTAACTGGTCTTAGCCAAGCAGTTGATACAACAGAATCTAAATCTGTCTGCGTGGGTTCAAAACCTGCTAAAGATGAATTTGCCAAGTGATCATTAGAGTCAAAATCTGTTTCTCTTGGACTGCGCAGGTTTGAAACCTGCCAGTGATAGCATTTTGATTTTATGAAATCACACCTTGACATTTTGTCATGAATGATACATGTATTTTTTTTCCTGTTAGAACACACCTTGACATCGACTCATGTATATTTTCATGTTGTATAAGAGGGTCAGGAAAGTGATGCCAGTGGTGTGATTGTAGTGCTGACCAAAACTGAATGTGCGTCTGAACACAGACAGCTTTCTTCAAAGGTCTTGACTTGGTTGAAGAAGAAGAGCAGATTACACATCAAACTTTCAAGTTTGATCCTGATGACATCAGGAAAACATCGAGTTTCTTATTTGCTCCTTATTTGACTTAATTTGCACAATAAGGAACTTTTAAGGCTGTTTTTCGTCCTTAAATTAAGGAGACTAAGGAGATTCATTTCCTTAAACTAAGGAAATAAGGAGCGGTTGCCTTAAAATCAGGCGGATAAGGCAGTCAAGGCATACTATTATTTCAGTAGACACAGAATAATCCAAGTAGGCTAAGGCGAAAATAAGGACGTCAACGAGTTCAAAATGTTCTATGAAAATGTCCAAAAAATATTAAAAAAGGTGTAGGAGCGATTTCATGGAATAAAAATGTTTTCATTGGCAGGTTTTAAACCAACACATTCCAAGAGAAACAGATTTTGACTCTGGTGATCACTTGGCAATTTGATCTTTGGTAGGTTTTGAACCCACAGAGACAGATTTAGATTCTGTTGCATCAACTGCTCAACTAAGACCAGTGAGATACACTTCTAATGAATTCATTCAGAAGTGGATTCGCAAGTCGCATTCATTTACATTTTGTCAGTTCTTTCAATAGCATGGTCACTGTTGATTCTTTTATCCTTGATGCAAACTTGGAATGATAAGCACAAGAGTAATTTAATTCTCTTCAAAGGTCTTGACTTGGTTGAAGAAGAAGAGCAGATTACACATCAAACTTTCAAGTTTGATTCTGATGATCTAGGGAATGAGGAAGAATACACATCTGTCAAGGCTGATATTCAAGGAAAAGATTCAAAAGAGCCATATGACAACTATTCGCTCATGTACAAGGTTGAGACCCGTTCGTTCGTCATCATGTTGCTCTCCCCTTGCTTTTTGAAAGTGCTGTATTGCAGTCTATATCTAATTCATCTATTCAGCTGAGGGAAAACATTACAAGTGACAGGGAATGGTAGACTTGCCTTGCAGATTCACTTCTGAATGTGTTCTTTAAAAATGCTGCTAACTGTTCTTAGCCAAGCAGTTAAATACAACAGAATCCAAATATGTCTGCGTGGGTTCAAAACCTGCTAAAGATGAAATTGTCGAGTGATCATCAGAGTCAAAATCTGTTTCTCTTGGACTGTGCAGGATCAAAATCTGCCAATGATAAATTTCATTTTTTATGAAACCACACCTTTACATATGCTCATGGTCGGTTTGCTTACAAGCTCGTCATGGACACCTTTCGACTGGCGTTGACACCATCCTTGAAGGTGAGTTTCAAGCCTGGATATTTCTTCTTCGAGGCATCAGTGCTTTGGGACACCGTTTTCGCCTCAACAGCTGTATAAATGTCAAAGGACTGGTGAGTCTTGCAACAGCATTATATTGCATAAGGCTTACGCGTCTTTTCAGGGTTTGCAGTTGGCGCTGTCTTGGTCACTGGGCGCGGCTTAGGCTTTGGTCTGACAAAGTGTTCTGGGCCAGCACGTTGAGCCATCTGCTCGACAGCCATAGCATCTTCCATTGCAGCGACCTTCTTTTGAGCATTTTACAAGGCGGTTGCCTTGGCTAATTTCTCTGCTGATGCCTTTTTCTTTTCAGCTGCAATTACATCCTTTGGGCATGCTACGCAACTCGCTTCAAGAACTATCTGTCCAGGATGTTTGTTCACATTCCCTGGGCACGTTGCAGGTCGAGGCATGTTGAGATCTAGGACGAGCTGTTGGAGGAATGCTGGTGGCGAGGTGTTGAAAGAATATGGACCCTAGCAAAAGGTCACCGGTAACGAATGGGTGAAGTTATATTTTTTTCAATTGAGCATGTCATAATTTCTGATTCACACACTTAGTATTAGTCTAGTCTCCATTCTACGTATTCTGCTCCCTGGTATCCATCTTGCTACTGTCCAACATGGCCCCAGCTGTCACCAGGTTTGTTTGTCGGTTTCCGAACTGCAATCAGGTCTTCAAAAACAAGTCTGGCCTCACCCAACACACACATGCAAGGCACGGCACCCCACAAATACAAAACCTCAATCGCACAGCTCCGCTCGCAGGTCCTGGATTCATACCTCCATGGAGTCGTTCTCCCACTCCAGCAGGTGTTATCGATGAGAATTTCTATCAAGACCCGGCGTGCGACCAAGATTTTGTACCAGAGGAAGGTACTTGGGTGAATATGGGGCGCTTATTCCGTACTTTCCATCCGCACCTCACAGGTGGGCATTTTTTAAGGAGTTCATCTTACTGTTACTGAATTTTTGTCTTAGGACTCAAGTGTGATGCTAATGGGGCATTTATTGACCAGGATGCACCCCCACCACCTCATACGGATGCCCTCCCAACCGATTGGATGCCTTATGACAATTGTGCTGAATTTGAGACGGCAGAATTCTTATTCATGCGCAATCAAATGTCTGCAAAGCAGATTGATACACTTCTCAACTTGTGGGCCGTGACTCTCATTAAGCACAACAATGCCCCCCAATTTGCAAACCATAGGGACATGTACGCTACAATCGATGCAACACCACTCGGCGATACCCCTTGGAAGAGCTTTACATTGTGCTACAACGGAGCCAAACCCAAACAAGATGTACCGCTGTGGATGGATGGACAATATGATGTGTGGTATAGAGATCCATTGGAAATGATGTGCAGCATTTTGGCAAACTGTGCTTTTGATGGAGGAATCGAGTATTCACCCTACCGCAATTATACTACTGAGGACAAACAATATTGGAAGAACTTTATGTCTGGTGACTGGGCATGGAAACAGGCAGTACGCCTTTTTCATATGTACATTTTTGGCATACTAACAATCATCTCAAGGATGATATTGCTCGAAATGAGGAGAATCATGGTTCGACATTTGTACCATTGATTATTGGCAGTGATAAGACTGTTGTTTCTGTCACTACTGGTCAGACCGAATACCACCCACTCTATCTCTCAATCGGGAACCTTCACAATAGCGTACAACAGGCACATCGCAATGGTGTTGTCCTCATTGGATTTCTTGCGATACCGAAATGTAAGTACTTGTTATTCTCAATGCATCACTGTATCATAACCTTCATTTGTCTAGCTACGAAGGAACATAATGATGACATCAAATACAGAAATTTTCGACGGCAGCTGTTCCAGCGCTCCCTTGCAAAGATTTTCGAGTCTGTGAAACCTTTCATGGAAAATTTTGATGTCACACGCTTTCCAGATGGCCACTATCGATGCACAGTGTACGGCTTGGGCCCTTACATTGTGGACTATCCAGAACAGATACTTTTCTCTGGCGTCGTGCAGAACTGGTGTCCACGGTGCATCATCAAACTTTGTTTTGCCTTTTAATGACTTATTTATTATCAAAATAGCTGTCTAGGACATAGGAAGGACCTTGATGGCTCTCAACCGTGTCTCCATTGACGCGAAGCACATACCGAGTTGCTCATCAAACAACTCACATACAAACAGGCTTGGGATGAGTATGGCATCATTGCCGATCTTGTTGTAAGTTGCTCGCTGAAACTCGCTAGGTCCAATCTCACCTTTTCACTTTTCTAGCCATTTACAAATGACTTTCCTCGAGCGGACATCCACGAGCTCCTATCTCTGGAGCAAAATTGGCTCTTTGCCCTCTTCAAGAAGCCCAGTAATCCCACTCCCGCTCCTGCTCCTGCTCCCTCTCTCGCCTTTGTTTCGTCTTCTCTTGCCTTCATTTTGTCTGCTCTCGCCATCCTTTCATCTGCCAATGCCTCCGCTTCTTCTGTCAATGCCTCAGCTCTGATTGTGGCCTCCGCCTGGACAGTCACATCTCCCCACTTGCGCGTCTTCTGTTGCACTTGCACGCGAGATTTTGGAGCCATGCGGTGTAGAAACAACTATCCAGATGGTGGTATTCTGAAAATATCAGCCTTGACAGATGTGTATTCTTCCTCATTCCCTAGATCATCAGAATCAAACTTGAAAGTTTGATGTGTAATCTGCTCTTCTTCTTCAACCAAGTCAAGACCTTTGAAGAGAATTAAATTACTCTTGTGCTTATCATTCCAAGTTTGCATCAAGGATAAAAGAATCAACAGTGACCATGCTATTGAAAGAACTGACAAAATGTAAATGAATGCGACTTGCGAATCCACTTCTGAATGAATTCATTAGAAGTGTATCTCACTGGTCTTAGTTGAGCAGTTGATGCAACAGAATCTAAATCTGTCTCTGTGGGTTCAAAACCTACCAAAGATCAAATTGCCAAGTGATCACCAGAGTCAAAATCTGTTTCTCTTGGAATGTGTTGGTTTAAAACCTGCCAATGAAAACATTTTTATTCCATGAAATCGCTCCTACACCTTTTTTAATATTTTTTGGACATTTTCATAGAACATTTTGAACTCGTTGACGTCCTTATTTTCGCCTTAGCCTACTTGGATTATTCTGTGTCTACTGAAATAATAGTATGCCTTGACTGCCTTATCCGCCTGATTTTAAGGCAACCGCTCCTTATTTCCTTAGTTTAAGGAAATGAATCTCCTTAGTCTCCTTAATTTAAGGACGAAAAACAGCCTTAAAAGTTCCTTATTGTGCAAATTAAGTCAAATAAGGAGCAAATAAGAAACTCGATGTTTTCCTGATGTCATCAGGATCAAACTTGAAAGTTTGATGTGTAATCTGCTCTTCTTCTTCAACCAAGTCAAGACCTTTGAAGAAAGCTGTCTGTGTTCAGACGCACATTCAGTTTTGGTCAGCACTACAATCACACCACTGGCATCACTTTCCTGACCCTCTTATACAACATGAAAATATACATGAGTCGATGTCAAGGTGTGTTCTAACAGGAAAAAAAATACATGTATCATTCATGACAAAATGTCAAGGTGTGATTTCATAAAATCAAAATGCTATCACTGGCAGGTTTCAAACCTGCGCAGTCCAAGAGAAACAGATTTTGACTCTAATGATCACTTGGCAAATTCATCTTTAGCAGGTTTTGAACCCACGCAGACAGATTTAGATTCTGTTGTATCAACTGCTTGGCTAAGACCAGTTAAATGCGCTTCCAATGAATCCATTCAGAAGCGACTTACATATTTTTACCTATTTGCTGCACTTCCAACTTGCTTCCGTGCACCGACAAACCAAAACATGCATGGAATGGACAGAAAGAGGACAAGTGATCGAGCTGAAGGCGCCACACACATATGCACAACAAAAGTGCTTGTGCTAGTAAGCGTGCGCTGAAGCGCCAGGTGTGCCGCATGAAATACAAGTCACACTAAGCTATGGAAGTGCTTAGAATGATGTGAAAATAGACCTCTATGAGGATATAGAGATGTGAGACTCTACAATGCAACCGAACATGTTGTAAAGTATTGATTGTATTGTCATGTGGTCTGACATAGAAATGGACAATAATATATAAAGCTGAGACAGTGGGCGCAGTTGCAGTAGGTTTTGTGTTGTATAGATTTAACCTGCAAAGTCCAAGAGAAACAGATTTTGACTCTGGTGATGGCTTGACTAAGGCTAATGAAGATCAATGTCTGAGATACTGTCCATGAGCAGATATTCAAGGCATGTTCTTATGAAAAAAATGCGACATTCAACAGGTTTTAAGCCTGTTGCACTCCAACAGAAACAGATGTCTATTCTGTCAGGACGACCACATGGCTAAACACAACTCTGATGAGCATATGTCAAGGTGTGGTTGCATTAAAAAGAAATGAATTTTATCATTGGCAGGTTTCAAACCTGCACATTCCAAGAGAAACAGATTTTGACTCTGATGATCACTTGCAATTTCATCTTTGACAGGTTTTGAACCTACACAGACAGATTTTGACTCTGTTGTATTAACTGCTTGGCTAAGACCAGTTAGATGTGCTCCCAATGAATCCATTCAAAAGTGAATCCTCAAGATACACTTATCCTGCATTTTGTCAGTTCTAACATTAATTTCTAACATTACCCTTGAGCCCAACCATATGCGATTCTGCCATTGTCAGTTGTCACTCATGATCTGGTTGTTAATCCCAAGACATCACAAACATCATCGGCCCACTGTGATGGTCTGCCATCAGCACTTTTTTTGAGCAATTGCTGGATAAACAGGTCTTGAAGCAGAGGCCCAGGAGAAGCCTGATGTCTTTATCAAAATCTGTTTCTATTGAAATGCAACAGGTTTCAAACCTGTTGAATGTCACATTTTTTCTATGAGAACGTGCCTTGAATGTTTGCTCATAGACAGTATCTCAGACATTGATCTTCATTGGTCTTAGTCAAGTTGTCGCCAGAGTTAAAATATGTGTCTCTTGAACTTTGCAGATTTGAAACCTGCTGATGATGATATTTTTATTCTATGAAATTAAACCCTGATATTTCCTCATGGATAGTTTTCTTCAAAACCCATCATAAATGCTCTTTTCCATATCATTGCCACAATAGATTCAAAATATGAATATGTTTCAATCAAAGCCTACAGGTTGGCAATCAGTCCTAGTTCGGGAGTTATCAAAGTCAAAATCTGATTTTCCTGGACTGAGCAGGTCAAAAACATGTATCACTCAGCATATTTTCAAGCATGCACAGTCCAAGAGAAACAGACTTTAATTCTGTTGTAACAACCACTTGGCCAAGACTGTTTATAATGAGCGAATGTTTCAGGTATATTTCAATGAACAACAAAAAATGCAATTATATGAGTTTCGAACCTGCTTAGTCCAGGATAATCAGATTTTGAATCTATTATGGCAATAACATGGCTGAGAACATTTAAGATGAGTTTTTGACAAAACTGTTTACAAGGGACTGTCAAGGTGTGATTTCATAGGATAAAAATATTATCATCAGCAGGTTTCAAACCTGCACAGTTCAAAGAGAAACAGATTTCGACTCTGGTGATCACTTGGAAATTCAATCTTTGGTAGGTTTTGAACCCACACAGACAGATTTAGATTCTGTCATATCGACTGCTTGGCTAAGACCAGTGAGATGCACTTCCAATGAACACAATCAGAAGTGAACCCTCAAGGCACGTTTATCTGCATTTGACCACCACACAAAATGATGAGATGGAATGACTCATGAGCTTGCATTCAAGGCAAGTTTTAATGGCAAAAGAAAAACCATGTTATTATACAGGTTTTAAGCCTGCTCGGTTTAAGAGAAATAGATATAGAAATATTGGCTGATTTTGATGCAGCAACTATGAGTTCAAAAGAAGCAGCTAATACTCAGAGGGATTTAGGATTGAAAAATACAGACCTTCAGAGTGTGTAGAGTTCAAAAAGCGCGCAGACCAGAGTCATGGCAATGACATGGCTAAGATCATTTAAGATGAGTTTCTCAGAAAACCAGGTGTGTTTTTATAGAAAATAAAATTTATCATTGACAGGTTTCAAACCTGCACAGTCCAAGAGACACAGATTTTGACTCTGGTGATCACTTAACAATTTCATCTTTAGCAGGTTTTGAACCCACGCAGACAGATTCAGATTCTGTCATATTAACTGCTTAGCCAAGACTAGTTGTATGCACTTGCAATGAACCCATTCAAAAGTGAATCCTCAAGGCACAATATCAGCCTTGATGAATTTGTATTTTTTCTCATTCTCCAGGTCATTAGGATCAAAATTGAAAGTTTGATGTGTAATCTGCTCTTCTTCTTCTTCAACCAAGTCAAGACCTATAGAAAGAATTAGAGTGTTCTTATACTTATCCTTCCAAGTTTGCATCAAGACCTTGGTCATATATTGAACTCTGTGTCAAAAATACTCGCATTCAACTCTGGTGAGTTTTTTTTTAGCAAAAAAGGATGCATGAAACCAACAGCAATGTCAATCAAGCTTGAGATCATCAGTTTTTGCTTGCTATACTGTGATTTCATAGAATAAAAATAAAAATATTATCATTGGTAGGTTTCAAACCTACACAGTTACAGTTTGAGAGAAAGAGATTTTGACTCTGGTGACAACTCGACTAAGACTAATGAAGATCAATGTTTGAGATGCTATCTGTGAGCAGATATTCAAGACTCTAGCAATCACTTGGGAATTCAATCTTTGGTAGGTTTTGAACCCACAGAGACAGATTTAGATTCTGTTGTATCAACTGCTTGGCTAAGACCAGTGAGATGCACTTCCAATGAACTCAATCAGAAGTGAACTCTCAAGGCACATTTATCTGCATTTGACCACCACACAAAATGGTGGGATGCAATGACTCATGAGCTCACATTCAAGGCAAGTTTTAATAGCAAAAGAAAAAACCATGTTATTATACAGGTTTTAAGCCTGCTCAATTTAAGAGCAATAGATATAGAAAATGACCATGGGCCAATTATCCAAAACATGTTTCAGAATCAATAAAAAGTTTATCATCGAATGGGTTTTGAACCTGCAGACAGCAGAAGAAACAGATTTTGATTCTGTGATAGCAATGATATGACTAAGATCATCTGTTATCACCTTTTAAGAACACCATCCACAAGCAAATATCAAGATGTGTTTTTATGAAAGAAAAATGACACCATTGTTGGCAGGTTTCAAACATGCACAGTCCAATGGAAACAGATTTTGACTCTGTTGACCACTTGACTAAGGCCAATAAAGATCTACGCC